TAATGTCAGATATGTTCCCTGAAATTACTGTAAGGCTTCATTCATAAGCTATCACCAAGTAAACTTGATCCAGATTCTTCAGCCCATGGTAACTAATAAGTGCACTGTATAAATAACTCAAACAAGGACTCCAGATTCAGTATTGAACATTTGAAGGACTGTATAAAACTTTATGATTTATCTGTGAATCTGATGAGGAAACAACAATAGCTCAAAACATCTCAGAGTAAGAAGAGAGGCTAGAGACACTGGTCTGGGGTAACTGTGAGTACAAGTGCAGACAATCTGAGCTTATTCAAGGGCTTCACATTTGCACTTACTTCACATGGAACAAATCATAAATACTCCAGAGCTCTGGCAAAGTATGTAAACTGACCATCTCAAACACTCAATTTTCCATAACACTGCTAAAGAGCTGTCAAGATCATGTTTATGTTTGAAGATTTCTTACATAACTTCTGAAGCTACAATGTTGGTCCTGATATAACAATCATGTCCAAATTACATCCATTGAATCCAAGAGAAATGAGTCTAAGAATGAACTTCATCATGTTTTAACATAAACCTATGGACTGGCCTGATGTTAAGTTTGTATAATCACACTTCTAAATATTAAAACATAAAAGTAGTGTAATGATCAAATAAAAACATGCTTATGATTATTTAATGTATATTTTAAAGCACATGTTGCCATAGGTAAATTTGACTGAAGGACACAACAGCAGGGTAAAGTGGGAATGGCTGCTGTAAGCGAGGACACTGGTCAAATAAACAGACTCTAATGTCAGGTGCATGCTGGGCAAGTGTGTTACAGTGTTCACATAATGAATGTGTTACCGTGCTGGGTGGATGGCAGAGAGCACAAAGACCACCAGAATAATGTCCAGACTCTCGGGTGGGAAGGGAAATGGGGACGCCGTGTCACAAATGTCCCGCACAAATGCGTGACACACTGCAGGGTCATAGTCTGGGTGCTCCTGCAAGGGGAAAACATACACAACTGTCCTCAAATGACTGCCGTTTTTGAGAAGCATTTTAGATTTTGCCTTCATGGAATTACACTGCAAACATTTTATCATACTAATACAACTAACAAATGGTACGAGTTCCATTTATTTTAATACGAAAGCTGTTGACACTTTAATTACATAAATACATGGGAATGATATTGCTTTAATTACATTTTAAATACACTAAATAAAATTACTTATATATTTTTTTTATTTTACTTAAAAAGCATAGAAATTAAGCATATGAAGAATTGTATTCAAATTATAACTAGCATAAATTAAATTCAGTACTACCATTAAATATAGAGTGGTACTTCAAATACTGTATATACTCAATTACATATTTTTAAGCAGAGACATGCTGTTTAATAACTTGTATTATCAATAAATAAATACACATTAAACTACTTAGTTATCTTAGGTCGTTTAAGCTTATATGGCTGCATATAATTCATAAAAAATACAGTAAAGCAGTAATATTGTGATATATTATTACAATAAAAATAGCCGTTTTATTTATATATATATATATATATATATATATATAATTATAATTTTTATTATTTTTTTAAAGAGTACTTTATTCTATATATGCACACATTTTTTATTATAAATGTCTTTACTGTCACATATGAGCAATTTAAAGCGTCCTTGCTCAATTAATTTCTTAAAAAAAAAGTGAAAAAAAAAAAAAAAAAGCCTAAA